TTCCAATACTTATTAATTAATGCTAATTGTAATCTTACAGATAATCAAATCCACTAAAGCCTAACCTCTTAACCTCTAATAGCCCTTACCCTAACCCTGAGTCTAACCTAAACATAACCCTAATCCTAACCCAAACCCTAACCCTACTACTAGATGAAGGCTTAGGCCTCGATATAGTCCATCCTCTAACGCTAAATGTAATCCTAACCCTCACTCTCACATCTAACCATAAACCCTAACCCCTAATACTTCAATCCTAACTGTAAACCTAAATATAATATCCCTTCACCTTTAACAGTAAACCTAAATATAACACTAGACTAAGCCCTTGGCCTAGCCCTATCACAACCCCTAACCTTAACACATAACCCCTAATCTGAATTCTAACATTAAACCTAACCTAACCTTAACTCTAACACTACACATAGCCCTAGGCCAAGACCTCCTAGGCCAAAACTCAACGCTAAGCCTCACCCTAAAAGTACTACTGTCCATACCCCTAATCTTAACCTTAACATTAGGACAAGCCCTAGCCCAAGGCCTAATACTAAGCTTAAACTGAAATTTGACTGATAATCCCTAACCATAATGCTTAACCATAATCTCATAACCATAACCATAAACCTGACCCCTACCCCTGACACCAAATCCTTAATCCTAACTGTAACTTTAACACTAGACCAAGCCTTGGGCCTAACCCTAGCCAACCCATAATCTTCATTTATTTATTTATTATTTTAAGAGCTTGTTTTACATTCAACGTTATGTGTACATCTAGTTTCACTCCCCATTTACCATGTCCAACCCCAACCCAGTCTCCTCCCCTCCCTACCCTGCAGTCCTCCCCTGGTGCCCCTCGTATTTATGCACTCCTGTTTGTCCTGCATTTCCTCGATTTGAATGTTGGTCCTCTGGTGCCCTGTGGTCTATTGCTCTAAGGGATGTATTACCATAGAGTATGTGGGTGTGTCATCCTGGGTTGAGTGGTCTGCATGTACATCTTGTTAACCATTGGGCTGAGAGCCAGCCCCTGGGGGTGCATTTTATTCCAGGCGAAGGATGTATTCCAGGGCCATAGTATTGGGGGTATTGTCAGATTTCATCTGACCAGTAATTCTGGTCATCATTGAGTTTTGGGGTTTTGTTCCTAGACACTGCTTTTTAAAGTTCTCACTTGCACTGTTGTCAATTTGAGCTCATAGGTAATTCTTTGTAAGGATGCAGTGCTCAAGGCAATTTGACCTAAACTGTTGTTTTAGTTTAAGGCTTCATGGGATAGTTTTGGTTCAAGGTTTAAAGAATATTCTGGACAATAGATTCAGGAGTCCCTCAAATCTCAATCCATTAAGTCTAGCTTCCATATGAATTTGAAGTTCTGTTCCCCAATTTTTTCCTTTTAATCAGGATCCATCTATTGGATCCCTAATCAAAACATTCAATAATGGTAACCAGGTGCCATCCATTTCTTCTAGTCTCAGTAGCAGAAGAAGTAGTAGTTTGTGGACACAGTTAAAAGTACAGTCCATTTGCTTCTCCAATTCTTCTGTCTCCTTTTTCTTCTGCTATTCTAGGTGAATAGATTATTATTTTTGTAATTTGGGTGGCCATTCACAAGCTTTTAAGACCTCAGGCACTACTCACCAAAGTTAAAAAATAAACTCTAAATACAATATTAAGCTAACTGAATGGATAAACCCACAGAGCAATGACTCTAAACCTTTAAACCAAGAAAATGAATCCCTTGAAGTGTTTAGGTGTACCTAAGCAATGTCAGCAGGCATAACCTTTGTGTTTTTGTTATTTTTGACCGCTGTTGTAGTTATAAATTATATAAAATACTTTACTTGCCATTTTGCATTCTTCTTCCAAGTGTACAGTTTAGTGATAACAGCTACATTTACAATTGATTTTTGTATATTGATCTTGTACTCTAGCTGAATGTTTTAATTTTAATAGTTTTTTTTTTTTTTGTGGGTGCCTTAGGATTTTCTATATGCAAAATTATGTTGTTTGTGAAAATAATTTTATTTCTTCCCTCCCAATCTAGCTGTCTTTTCTTTCATTTTCTTACATAATTTCCTGGCTGATCGCTCCAGCATAATGTTGAATAAAAGTGAGAAAAATATATATCCTTGTCTTGCTCTTGATGTTTGGGGAAAAGCATTCATTTTTTTTTCACCATGAATTATGTTAGCTATGAGTTTTTTGTAGACACACTTTCCAAGTTGAGGAAATTGCATTCCATTGCTTGTTTTTTTTAAATCTTTTTATCATGAGTGTTGAAATTTGCCAAATGCTTTTTTTCTACATCTGTTGAAAGGTAAAAGTTAGAAACAGAAGAAGTATCATTAGGTGGTAAATATGACCTTGGTGAGAGAAATGATGACAGAGATCGCATGATAGAATTTTGCAAGACCAATGTATATGATAGAATTTTGCAAGACCGATGACTTAGTCATTGCAAATACCGTTTTTTAACAACATAAATGGTGACTATACACAAGGACTATGCCAGATAAAATACCCAAGAATCAAATTGACTACATCTGGGCAAAGAGACAATGGGGAAGCTCAATATCCTCAGTTAGAACAAGGCTCGGGGGTAAATGTGGAACAAAACAGCAATTGTTCCTATGCAAATTAAAGTGGAAGGTAAACAAAATTTTAAGAAAGTCCATGAGAGCCAAAATACAATCTTGAGTATATTGTGCTTGAATTTAGGGACCAATTGAAGAATAGATTTGGCTCATTGAATACCAGTGACTGAAGACCAGAAGAATTGTGGGATGACATCAAGCATATCATATATCGTATATGAAGAAAGCAAAAGATTATGAAAAGACAGGAAAGGAAGAAAAGACTAAAATGGATAACATAAGAGACTGTGAAACTTGCTCTTGGACAGAGAGGAGCTAAAGAGAATGAAAGAAATGATGAAGTAAAAGAGCTGAACAGAAGATTTCAAAGACCAACTTGAGAAGACAAAGTCATGTATTATAGTGAAATGTGGAAAGACCTGAAGTTAGAAAATCAAAAGGGAACAACCTACTTGGAATTTCTCAAGCTGAAAGAACTGAAGAAAAAAAGAAAATCAAGCCTTGAGTTGCAATATTGAAGGATTCTGTGGACAAAATATTGAACAATGCAGGCAGCATCAAAAGAAGATGGAAGGAATGAATACACAGAATCACTGTACCAAAAAAATTGGTCAGTGTTCAGCCAATTCAGGAGGTAGCATATGCTCGAGAACTAATGGTATTAAAGGAAGAAGTCCAAGCTACACTGAAGGAATTGGTGAAAAACAAGGTTCCAGGAATTTATGGAATACCCACTGTGATGTTTCAACAAATGAATACAATGGTGGAAGCACTTACTTACTTATTCCCCAAATTTGTAAGATAGCTACCTGGCCAACCGGCTGGAAGAGATCCATATTTGTGCCCATTCCAATGAAAGGTGATCCAACGAAATGGATAAATTATTGAACACTATCACAAATGGGAGTTCTGGTGGTGTAGTGCCTAAGGCTTTTGATTGCTAACCAGAAGGCTGGCAATTCAAACCCACCAGCCACTCCTCAGAAGGAAAACTGGGCAATGTACTTCCATAGAGATACCACCTTGGAAACACAAGGAGTGGTCGCTGAGTGGAACCAACTTGATGGCAGTGAGGTTTTTTTTTTTTTTTTTTTTTGGTCACTAAAATATCACACACAAGTAAAACTGCCAGAAATTCCAGCCGGATTCTGAAGAACAAGACCCAATGGGGGTCCACTATGAGTCAGAATCGACTCAATGGCATTGGGTTTGGTTTGTTTTTGTTTTTTGGTTCCATAGTCAATGCCCACAGAAGCAGCAGTCAAGAAATCAAATGACATATTTCTCTGGGCAAATATACCTGAAAATACCTCTTTAAAGTGTTAAAGAGCAAAGATACTATTTTGAAGACTAAGGTGTGCCTGACCCAAGCCTTGGCGTTTTCATTAGCTTCATATGTATATGAGAACTGGAGAATGAATAAGGAAGACTGAAGAAAAATCGATGCCTTTGAATTGGGGTATTGTAAAAGAATGTTGAACATACCAGGACTACTAGAAAAATGAATCAATCTGTCTTTGAGGAAGCACAGCCAGAATGCCCACTTACTTTGGTCATGTTGTCTGAAGGGACCAATCCCTGGAGAAGGATATTACACTTGGTAAAGTAGATGGTCAGCAAAAAGGGCAAAGATGCTCAACAAAATGGATTGACCTAGTGGCTGTATGATGGGCTCAAGGATAGCAACAGTTGTACAGATAGTGCAAGACCAAGTAGTGTTTTGTTCTGTTTACATAGGCTTGCTACACAGTGGAACTCACTTGATGGCACCGGTGAAATAAAATAAAATGAAAAAAATTTTTTTTTCTTTATTTCATTAATTTCTACTATAATCTTTGTTTTTCTTTTCATTCTGCTTCCTTTAGATTTAATTTGCTCTTTTTCATCTACAGTCTTGAGTTGGAAGAACAGACTATTGACTTGAGATTTTCATTCTGTGTTAATATAGTTATTTACAGCATAAATTTCCCTCTAAACACTGCTTTAGCTGTGTCCCATAAATTTTGGTATGTTCTTTTCATTGATTAGTTTAAAAGTACATAAAGTATTTTCCATTTGAGTTCTTCCTTGACTCGATCGTCACTTAGAGATGTATTGTTTAAGTTCCACATACTTGTGAATTTCCCAAATATCTTTCTGTTATGATTGTCATTTCATTTCATTGTCATTGGAGAACATACTTTGTATGATTTAAATCCTTTTAAAGTTATTGAGGCTTGTTTTATGACCTAGCATATAATCTATCCTGGAGAACATTGCCTATGAGAATATGCATGTGGACTTAAGAAGAAGAATATGTACTCTACTCATTGGATGGTTTTGCAGATGTCTGTTAGGTTTATTTCATTTATAGTTCTGTACAAATTCATTTTTGCTAATGCGACTTCCCTTCTCTCTTTTTAGTTGATGAATTAATCAGTCCTAAAGACCTTGATCCAGTCCAACGCTATATCCCACTACAGAATCAACGTAACGTGAGCATGAGATTTTCCAATCAGGTAAAGGGATCTTTTTTCTTTATCTAGACTTAACCGAAGACTTTAAAGGTTAATTGAAGAAGAAATTTTATTCTGAATAGGTTTTTATTGCTCCTACTTAATGTCAAAGCTTCTCCTTCTTATAATTAGTTAAGATTTACTTGTGTAAAAGGCTATTTGTTAATAAGGAAGTAGGAGTTAGAGGTGTCCAGCACAGTGCCATTCAGGTAAACACTGTCATCTTCAAAATGGTTGCATTTGAGGTGTCAGGTATCTTTGAGAATACATAGAGCGTGGGGCTGGTTGGACAAGAGATGAGATGGTGATATTATTGAAGAGAGTCAGGACCAGTGAAAGGCCCTGTGCCTGCACTGTCTCTCCAGTTCTGTGACTCCTTGACAGGTCTAAGTGGCTGACAGAGTTGTTCTTAGTACTTGGTGACATGTCAGGGTAGAGAACAGCTTTAAAATCTTTACATTTAGTTGCTATGGATGCAGTCTGTGTTGTGTCAACAAAATAAGTGTTTGCAGGATCAGAAAGATTGATGTTGACTTGAGAAAACCCTGAAATATTAAATGATACCAGTGATGCGAATTGTTAAAATGAAAACATTGTGGATTGTGGAGACTGCCTGAGGAGAAAGGGAATGAACCTTAGTGTGTGCCTAGGATTCCAAGTAGTTAATGTGCATTTAATAAGAGTAGCATCAGCAGTTACAGAAGAAATGCTTAGAAAATTGAAATGCAGGTACACATATACATAACTGTAACACAAAAACACGTATGTATGTATACATATATAGTTGCATGTATGTATGTATACACACACACACTTTCCCAAGGCATAATAAATGTTTGTTTTGCTGGTCTTCACCAAATCATTTAATTACTCTGAGTGGCTTATAGATGAGAGGCTCTTTGAGAGGCTTGTAAATAAATGTTAAATTTTCCTCAAGAACATGCAATCTTTATATTAATATGTGTGATAAAATTTCTCACTATCCTACTAGCTCCTCTAAGGTATAGATTTGACTTGTTACCACTTGTGTCAGTACGATGCAACTGTACATTTTGTTCTGTGGAAATGGTGGTATGGTAGTGCTAAAAGGGCAGGGAGGCACCATCTTCTGACCTCCTCTAACCACACAAGAGGAAGACAGAATCACCATCAATAGCCCAAGGCCTATTCCTGCAAGGCCAGACATGCTGCTTCCCTCCAGCCCTTACACCAACCGTTCCTCCTGTAGCACCCAAAGCCTATCTGCCAGGTTTGATAATTCACTGCAGTGGCTATGCAGAACTCACAGATTATGGGGTTAATTAGGGAAGGACCAGGCTACAATTCAAGTTAAGGAACAATGTTCAGTCTCTCTCAGCCTGCTGTCTCTCACCCTGCAGTTTCTCTCAATCTCTCTCCCAGCAGTTCGTGTCTCTCGGTGTCTCTTTCTCAGCAGTGCATGTCTCTCGGTGTCTCTTTTTCAGCAGCTTGTGTCTCTCAGGAGCGTGTTTCTCTCAGCAACATGTCTTCCTCAGCCAGAGGTCAAAGAGAGAGACTTCTGCCTCTAGGAGGCCAGATAATAACATCAGAATTCTAAGCACCTGAGAGAGAGTGAACTTCCCAGAACATTCCTTTGTGCCACGCCCAAAAGATATACCCCAGGTGGATAACTTTTACAATCAGGAGCTTCTCAGTTCCTCACAGCAAATTCCACCACAGAGTTTACAAAGACTTATGGCTAGAAAAGCCATTCCAGGTAATTTACTACACCGCAGGTAATATCTCACCTCTTCTACCTTCACAAGGAGGAGGAAAGAGAATCAATTTGAATGTCAGCCCAAAGCTGATTCTTATGAGGTGAAGGTCATACATATCTCCATCCTCCAACCTTTTTACCGAATCTGACACCAGCCATCCCCTCCCGTGGCTCTCTTTACTTCTCTGTGAGGTTCAATAATTCATTCAATAATTCTCACAGAACTCACAGATAATAATACAATTATAGGATTTATTAGGGAAGTAACAGGTTACAATTCAGGATCAAGGTCAACAGACTACAACTTAGGATCAGGATCAGGAATCATGTAGGCAAAATCTCTCTTCTTCAGTGCAGAGTAGCTCTCTGCTCCTCTTGGCCATGCAGTGTTCCTCTGGGCCTCCTCAGGACAAGCTCCTTTTGACCCCCTCAGGACTGGCTCCTATCAGTTCCACAGGCCAGGCCTCCTTTCTCAGCCTTCCTGTGACCCTGCTCAAGCCTAGCCTCTTCCCTGCTTGGTCAATTATCACAAAGCTCTTTAGCTCTGCCAACAATTGCCTGGAGATGCCCCACTCTGCCAGGAAACCTCTTGCCCAAAGACTCTCAGCTCTCTTGCTTCATGGTTTTGCCTGCACTCTTGCTCCATGGGTCAGGAAGCCCACCGCACTGTCTCTTGGTTCTGCTGCCACCGTATCTCTGCCACTGCTTCTTGCTGTCTCATGCCATCAGCAATGTTATCAGCTCCCTCCCTTCCTCTCTCTCTCTCTCTCTCTGTCTCCTGGGTCTAGAAGGTTATCAGCACTGGGACCCTGATTACAAAGAAAACTCTCTGCCCAGATATTCTTCCTGATGATAGTGAGATTCCTACCTCTGCTCTGGGATTAACTCTCTTTCAAGCCTAGCAGGATGGCAAAACTGACCAATCCCTTCATTAGGGTTCCATATACCTTATTTTCATGGTCCCACCCCTACAGAAGGGCCACACATCTTATTTGCATTATTAGCAAGTTATCCAGTCCCTTTGGTGGGCCATAAGCCCCTTCTTTGCATAGTCCCACCCAATCATTGTGTGGGAGTTAAAAGAACCATGCATGGCTGAAAGGGCCACATTAAGTCATTCACTATACCACATGTATGTATATGAGCTGTGAAGAAGTGGTCAAATGGGGAATACATATGTGACAATTAAGGTTACGTGTCAACTTGGCTGGGCCTGGTTTTGAGTGGCTGGGTAGCTGGATGTAATTATTCCCTGTGATGAGAATGGTAATCAACTCCCTCATAGAATCTACTGTGAGCAGCTGAGTAGCTACCTTAGGAGTTTGGTCTGCTTCCAGTATATAAGAAGATGCTTTGAGAATGGTCTGAGCTTTTTTGGCCTGCTTGGTCCCTGCATGTAGCTGAGTCTTCATTCAGCAGTGTGCCACAATTGCCTACCAATCTTGGGGCTTGAACTAGTGGCCTGCCATGTTGCTTAATATTCTTGGGACTGTGCCATTTTACTGGTCGGCCTTGGGTTTTATCAGCCTCATCAGCTAGCAGTTGTTCAAGGTAAGAGATACTTCCAGCATCAGTGGGCCGGGAGCAAGAGGCAGAGCTGAAGCCCAAGGTCAAGGGGCTTTCACCCAGGCCTTGGAGCTGACACTTTGAACTCGGACTTGTAGCCTTGTAAACTGAAAGAGAATAAATCCCTGTTTGCTGAAGTCATCTACCTGTGGTATTTTTGTTAGAGTGACACTAGAGAACCAAGGAGCTCTGTTATAGTGCCTAAGGCACTTGACTGCTAACCAGAATGTTGTTAGCAGTTCAAACCCACCAGCCACTCCGTGGAAGGAAGACTGGGCAATCTACTTCCATAAAGATTTACCACCTCAGAAACCCAAAGGGGGTCGCTATGTGTTGGAATTGACTCAATGGCAGTGAGTTTGATTTTTTGGCTTAGAAAACAAAAACAATACCTATCTTCATATTACCCAATGCCTTAACTCTGAGCTATTTTTAAGACTAGTGGGTTTATTTACATAGTACTTCACATACCTGATCTGCTTCTCTAGGATCATGAAACCTCAAAGCCTTTTCTTAGAAAATAAAGCAATAGGGGCATGGGTTTGAGATGTTCAGAGCAGGAGCCAGAGAATATCAAGGCATTTTATAGGCACATAACTAATAAAATCAGCTATTTAAACAGTTATTTCATGCTTGACACATATGTTGTGTGTCATCAAGTTGATTCTGACTCATAGAGAGTAGAACTGCCCTACAGGGTTTCCAACGCCATAATCTTTATGAAAGCAGACTGCCACGTCGTTCTGTTCAGAGTGACTAGTTAGGTCAAACTGTCAGCCTTTCAGTTTAGCAGACAAGCACTTAACCACTGCTACACCAGGGCTCCTTTTCACACATATAAGCAAGATTATCAGTTATGTGTAATTTCTGGCATAAAATGTATTTGCAACTCTCACCCAGTCAAGAAAGCTTATCAGAGTACAGTTGAGTGATAGAGCATCCACTCTAATATATATTGTATTTTATGGAAATCATGTACTAGTTTTGCTACTAAATTACCTGTGGCACCCTCCAGTGGAGCTAGCCTCTAGCTAAGAGTAGTTCTAGAGTAAGGATTGGGGCGCCTCTTCTGCACCCATATGGTATATTACATCTGTGCAGTTATACATAGTTTTGAAAGGAAGGTGATAAGGAGGATCCATAGCAGAAAACTACTGGGAGCTGACATGCTCCCATCTGTTGACAGGTTGTGGTGGTGTATAAAATGGTGAGAATTACTTGCCATTCTCTTAGCCATTTTAAAGCCATACCCAAGACCTGGCACACTCATGTCCATTGCTGGGACTGGATAACTCATAGAGTGATGAAATGAGGAGTTAGACATTTCCCTAAGGGTACCAAATTGAAGAAACCAAACTCACTGCTTTCGAGTTGATTCAACTCATAGCGGCCCCTCCTTAGGTTTCCAAAGTGGTATCTCTACAGATACCCCCAAGCAGCAGCAAAAGCAGAGGGGAAAGGAAAGGAAAGCCAGAGCATCCAGGACAGAGCAAGTAAGTGGCAGAGGCATCCAGGTGAGGGGAGGGACCCAGCCCCAACCCCCAAGCAGCAGGACAAGTAAAGGGAAAAGGAAAGGAAAGCCAGGGCATCCAGGATAGAGTGAGCAAGCAATCCTGGTAAGGGGAGGGTGGAGAGGTTTCAAACAGCTAAAGGAGACAAACTTGTCTGTTGGTTTTTCATGCTCTGGTAGCGCGTTGCTGTG